TTCATAAAACTAGAAAATTTCATTCATTTTTTAACCTCCAATAATACCTGCTTTTTATTATTCTTCTTTCTCCCCCTATCGAAGATATCGTAGTACATGCACTTTATTTAAATGTTTTCAACACGCGAAAGAAGGAAGACCCAGAGCTATTGCGACTAATGTATATTATTTCCTGGATGAGTTATAGATTCTGAATGATTCGAAGTTCGTCTGTCCATCATTAATCTCTGCGTAAATGTGACGATGTCGGCTTCAATGTTGGCAAAAATGTTGTATGTTCTCGAACTCGGATTGTTATTGTAAGCGGATCAAGTCAGTCAAAGGACACATTTACAATATAACATAATCTTGGGAAGTCAATGCTTTCTGGGTGAACTGCAAAAAATGTAATGATAGAAGTTTCAACGTATATTCCGTGAACAATCCGCCGAGTCATGTGAAAAAATGAGAGAAATCAGTCACGCCTATCCTACGTTATACGGCATCGACATTTAGTTTTGTTCGTCGGTTTTTTTTATTTTTTTTTTTTTAGATAAAAGTAAGTTTTTAGATAGAAGTATGATATAATATTAAATATTTGTACCCTATAGCGCTTGTTGTAGAAGAGTATACTAAGTTTGCTCAACACCCAGAGGGATTTGGAAGCCCGTTTCTTATTAGACTGATCGATTCAGAATGACTTTCACAATCAGTTTCGGAATCTATCTACGCTTGTCTGTCCATTTGTCCGTCTGTCCGTCTTGTGTTTAAACTAAAGATTGCAATTTTTGAGAAACTTAATACCCAAGCGAGTCCTGGCTTAAGGACGAACGTTTGAAAATGTTTTGGAAAGGACTACTTTTACGATCATTTTCCACGTAAAGCGTTATTATATGACTAACTATATTAAACAAAATGGTTTCGAATATTTAATGATAATTCTTTGACTTGTTGCAATTGAAAAATAATTATGTCGGCATCGCAAATGCAGAGTAGCGTATACTGCTGTAAAATTAATAGATAAATAGAAAATAGTGGAACAATTGAATACATTTTCAATTTTTCTCCACGTATAGAGCAGAAGAAGAAAGTCGTAAACTTAGTCAGCTAACACAGATAAAACTTCTTAGGTATGTAATTTTAATTTTAATTTCATAAGCGAGAAGTGGTCGGACATGGATAAGCATACAATTGTATCAATTTCGTTACTCATTTTGAAGAAGAATATGTGCTTAATACAGTTTCAACTTCCTGCTTCCGTTATCGTTTTTAATATAACACAGTTTGCACAGTTTAAAATCAATTCTCCCCCCAAAACGTTCAATTCAAAACATACAATTTAAGTGCATTTACTTTCATTAATTGTAGTTTGCATAACATTTTTATAGGCTATGACATTTGGCGTAAAAGTATGTTAAGTTCATGTGTATGAACGCACACTCGCAACGATGTAAAGGCTGACTCACCGTTTTGTTCAATCAATCGATTAAGAATCATTTTCCGCATAACTTCAACCTTGTCTGTCCACATGTCCCCGTGATGTTTTTTTGTATTCAATCTACAGGTTTCGATATATTTTGACGAAATTCACTACGCTGGCTCATCTGGTCTCAAGGACAAACCCTATTGGAAATAGGTTAACGTTATTACTTTGCACCATCACTCCTCCCTTTAAACCTCTTATTGCAAAAAATATGTTATACGAAAAAGATTTCCAATTTACCCAATTTCTTAACATAAACCGCTGGACATTTCGACATAAAAAATTGTAAAAACAATTTTGGATATGATAAGTCAATTTGAGCATTCATATAATGACTCCCACGAGTAGTATGCATTTACATAGCAAAAACTAGTACGGTCGAGACTGATGCAGAGTAGTAATTGAGTATAAAAATTAACTGCACGAAATTCGGTACAAATCCATCTATTTATCAATATGGACCCCATCTCACGTAAAGGTCCTAATAAAAAGCATGCCTTTACAGAAAAAACATGGTATAATTTTTACATATTCACTTCAGAAATAAATGGAGATTTGCGGGTATGATGTTTAATGATCGGCTTTTTCTCGCCATAATCATTCACTTGTTTGTATATTTGCCTGTTTAATGTCTGAAATCTCTCACCAAAGATAATTGCAGGGTTTTTAAACTAAAAAGACTGACGCAAAGTGCACGACGAAGAACAACATTTCAGATTTTGATTATTGCAAAAATTTAGATCACTTTTTCACTTAAAGAAGACATTTATTATGGAAAGCTGGTACAATATATATTAACTGAAATAGTTTCCATCATTTTCTACAACATTTTACAATCGTTTTGGCAACATGGCGATATCATGTCGAAAAAACATATCTTGGTTTGTCAGCGATCCAATCGTCGATCCATTCTCGCACTTCTTCAAATTTGCGGATCTGCGTGCCAGCCAAGCCATGCTGCACCGATCTGAGCAAGTAGTAATCAAGACAAACCATGTCCGGTGAGTACACTGCGTGTGGCAGAGCGTTGTCCATTCCTGGCCAACTCTTGCCTCAAGTGACAAAAATGCCATTTTCAGGCAATTTTTGTCGCCGCTTTTAAACGATTAGAATCAAAGCCGATAGTTGGAAAATAATGGTGCAGCATTTCCACAAGTCTCTGAAGATGTTTGGTGGGCTTCGGCAGCAGATTTCTACAAATAAGCAAGAAAAGTAATGAATTTTGGAAGAAGAAGAATTTTGAGGGCTCCATGATTAGCTTCGTCGTACGCTGACTGAATCAATAATATTGCATGGAAAACTTTGTTATTTTAACGCAGAGAAAGGTCAAAAACCTTTGAATTCAACCATTCTGTACACTGGTATTTCCCATTTCTTTATCATTTTTACCGGTACAAGTCGCTGATCAAAAGTTTTGCAAACATGTTACATTTAGTGTATTTGCTAATTTTATATATGATGTTAATTATTTGATGAAATTAATTCATTTACTTATTATTTCATTTATTTAGTTTTGTTGTTTTATTCTTTTGTTAATATTTAAGAAATAATTTTGAAAAAAAAAAAACGGATCTGAACTGAAAAAAAAAAAAATATTTATAAAATCTGCTCTGAACTTTTTCTTATTCATTAAATTCGTAAGCTATGAAAGTGTCGATTAAGTCAACCGCAGCTAAGGAAAATTTCCACAAATTTTTACTATGAAAAAAGTTAAAAAAAAAGAAAAAGAAATAGATTGTAATTGTGCACAATTCACAATTATATCCCAATATTTTTCACCAGAACGCGAATAAATTCTACTTAGCTAAGTGTATTCGAATATGAAAAAACAAAAAAAAAAAAAAAAAAGAACACATGCTCCAATATATTCGCATCATATATAAAATGTATGACATAGGCAAGGTTATGTTTCCTTTATTGTTTTTAAAATGCATCCGCCTCTGCTTCATACCAATTTCGTGCAACTCATACAAATCAAAGCAAGCAAAACAAGCATGAAACCGTTTTAGTTTGAAAGTCATTGCAACCTTTTTTTTATCTTTGCATTTTGTTTTAAAAGTCTTTCGAACTGTTATGCTCCCTATTTATAACTATTTCTGTAATGAATGGACTGCAGTACTGGTCGTACCAACCTCGTCGCATATTACATCATTTGATTGTAAAATAGGGGTTTAAGTACAACTATAAATACTGATGTAGTTTGTATGGAGCATGCAACCAACCCCTATATATTTTATAGCAACTATATATACATACAAACATACATATGATGAGAATTAACATAAATGAGAGAAGATTGACGAATGAACGGCGAGAATTTGGTAAACGCCTCAGTACGTGACTCCCTCATTTTTCCTAAGCAAACAAACAAACCCAAAGCATGTAAGCGTACAGTGCGAACCTACATAACGCACTTAATAATGCAAAATGCTGTTGCAGAAAAGGAACAGCTGATAACAATGATGATGATGATGCATTTCATATGCGAACAGCATAAGAAGTTCCTTATAGGGTACAACTTTTTCAATGATTGTTTCTTTCTCCTCTTCCTTCTTTATTATTGCATAATTTGTTTATTTGTTGGAAGAAGCTGGTTGACCAGAGCAAAAGGCATTTTCGAGTAAATCAAGAAAATAAGAAAAATTTATAAATTTCCTTGACACTTGGGGTAGCCATGAAGTTTTTTTTTGTTTTTTTTTTTTAGTTAATATTCAAATTTTGTGAAAAGTTATTTTATGCTTTTGATATTTTATTTTAAGGCCACTTATTGAAAATAAGTTCGTTTTGCATTCTGCCTTCCAGTGAATGAAAAGTTTATTTATTCCCCTTTCGTTGCCGTCTTGTCTAAAACCTATCATAAATCTATGTGGGATGATGGACTTGTTAACATTTCAAGTACAATTTTCAAGTGTATGGTGTGTAGTAAGTTTACCAGTTGTTATTACCTTCTGGTCTCAACTTACGTCATAATTTGAAAATTGAACTTTTCCACTTTAGTTTCTTTCTTTCTCTATGAAGGAGTTCGTGTGGAAATTTTTAGTCACTGAAAACAAATCATCATTTTTCTGCAAACAAACCAAACACAAACAAATAAAAATTATAGAGAAACTTGGTTGGAAAACTCATCCACTCAATCACTCTACCCGTCTCTGTTCGGCGTAGAGCAGTCAATATCCATTGAACTAACAAACAATTCAAATAAGTATTTGCCTCTACATACGACTATGTATGTTGAATAAATCATCAACGAACGGTTTGGTGGTAATATTTATGCTAATGAGCGCATCTCTAAATGAATAGCGAGATGACGAGAAACTTCAAATTGTTGAAAAATCTACCTATGTTTCATGCATTTATTCCCATGCCGCAAAAAAAACTAAAAAAAGAATCGTAATAGGGGCTTAATTCTCATTTCTCGGTTTTCGCATTCTATTGCGATAACTGTTGAAAAAATTTGAAATTTTTTATCTCATAAATTTTTTTTAATTTTTAATTACACAATTGAATATTGCAAACATATCGAGAAGACTTTGTTAATTTAAATTTCTCCCAAAGGATTGTCTAGCCATGGATAAACGTCTGGGCAGCTATCACAACATGTCATGTAACGTGTTTCCCCAGTTACAGGCTTTTTTAAAGCACATGTGATTGGTTGACAGGACACTTTCGGCTTTTTAAAGCATCCTTTGAAAGGTCTTCCCAAAGATGGATGTTTCAAGTATTGTACAACTTGACTAGGGGTAACTATATATACATCATGCAAAGAATTGGCATATTCTAAAAATCTATCAATCAACATATAATACATATATCTAAATAGTTACAAGCTTTTTGGTTTAACTTACTTGCGAAAAGCTTTTAAATAATTAGTACCGCGACTAAACCAAGCAGCGTGTAAATGCATGCCAAAGGGAGCCCGGTTACCCTCATAATGCCTTCGAAAATTCATTTTTATCCACTCGAATAAAGCGTCAACATTGTCTTTGGGCAAAAATATGCAACCGTCTATCATGGAGCAGCTGTAACCTTCTATGTCTGTCCACGTTACCATAGGATTAATCCACAAACCGGGTAATGAAGCGGTAGGACACGGTCCAATCTGACAATCTTGTACAGATAAATAGTCCAAAGTGTATGGCCACATTGCTGGATCTCTGTACATTTGAGTAGGCCAAGAGCTGTCATACAATAGACCTAATCTCTTGGCTACTATGAAAGACGTATTACCAGCTACTTGCAGGAAAGGTAAACGCATACCCCTGATATGTTTACGATTAATTTTCGCAAAACGCTCCAAAATCGCAATTTGTTGACCAAATTCACGCATCATTAAATTCTCATTTGCATTGCGCCAATAGTCTGTACCGTTGCCATGAGTAATTGAATGCAAAGCTATTTCATGTCCCTGATTATAAAGAGCATTCACTTTTGCGTAATCGGTATAGTCATGGGAAACGTAAAATGTACCCTTCGCCTCACAGCCATCCGGATTATGCAGATTGGCGAATATCTTTTGATATTGTTCATAGTTGAGAGCAGTTACGGCATCATCAAAGGTTATAGTGATAAACTATATATATATATATATATATGTATATATGTAAATCGGTAATAAATTCAACACAACAGATTATTCTATGAATCATTTGTAATTAACCTGAGGAATTTCTTTTTCACGCCCTTTAAATGCAGCCTTTGGTAGAGTTAAGCCGGAACAGCGACATTGTGGCGGTAAACAGTTTCCCGTACTACATATATCAGCTCGTTCGGCATCAACGTGTATTGGAGTTTGGTAAGCGGCTTCAGCCGTACCTAATAGCGTACAGGTTAACAATGATGTTATGGCAATGCTTAACATCTTTAAAGTAGTAGACCTATTTTAAGCGAAGGCGTTTTGCTTTTATACGCTCGCAAGATTCATTCGTTATCTTATCACGTTGTCTATTCATTTATTGAAACATTTTCAATTATTGTTTTCTCATGACTAGATAAACGATGCGATATATATCGAATTGATAATTTTTGGAAAGACGAGAGTAATCTTCGTTATGTTGACATTCTTCCACTCTTTCATTCATTCCATCTAAGAAGTTTCGGAAATTGCATTAAAGAAATGATCAAAATTAATAGATTTCATTGAAGAAGAAATATATCCGAGAATCCTCGAAAATTAAGTGATTTTTCGAAATTTATATAAAATAAGTGAAGCGACTTATCAGTAGCTATCTCCCTCTATATATGTAAGTATAAGAAAAAAAAAATTTTTTTTTCAAATGGAACTCTGGCAGCTCTCGTAAACCAATTTCTCTTTTTTTTTTTTGGGCATCTTTCACCTTACTGTACAGTAGGTGCCAGTTTTGCACTTAGAACTAGAAGCTAAAAATTTGTTCGGGACATTCGACACAGAGTTTAGTGAGTATCGTGAAATTTTGACAACGAATAGCTCGAGAAAGGAAATCCATTTCAATTATATTTTTCCCTCGGAATCTGTCGTGGATTCGATAAATTTTAATTTCTTCCTAGAAAATTTTAGTTCAAAGATTCGGTTAAAATTTCACGACTATTGGACGAAAGTGGAGAGAGGAGGCCAACGGTGCGGAAAATATGGTTTCCAAGCAAACGCTTTAAAGTTTCAAAATTTAAATTTAAAGAAATTTTTATATCATATATAATTTATAATGTCAGCATTATACAATGGGTTCAATGTCTTTGAATACTTGAGGACATTGTCTATGAACTCTATGTCTATGCACTCAGCATACCTCTACAGCTATGTTCGTAAGATCGACTTTGGCCCCTTTTAAAATTTCGGCCATTCCGCCATAATCATTGTTTTACATAATTTTCCAATAAAAAAAAAAAACTTTTTGACAATTTGGCAAGACGATACTATCTTCATTATGCCCTACCAAATTTGTTGTACCAAGGTATGTGAAGATTATGCGGATGCATGCAACATCCAGTAGAACTTGAGAACGTACCCCTTATTATATTGACCTCAATCGATCTAATTTCGTTTGTCTGTCTGTCCATCCGTCCGTTAGTCTTCTTTTCTTTTGTTCAATCTATTGATCGCAATTTTTGAGATATTTTGATAAAAATTGGTACACTTTTGTATTTTGGACCAGGGACGACGGTCCGGATCCAATCATTTTTTTGATATATGCATGTATATGCTCGGGGATGGTGTATGATATTTAATGCTGCGTCGTGGCCTTCGATAGTGTTTTTAATTGTTTTAGTATTAGTTATGGTATATTTTATATGACTAGCCATAATACGCTTATGTATATACAATGAATCCTATAACATACGCAATTATTCTTCGCACATTGAAGTTATATAAAATGATGTGAAGAGCAATTCGTTTAAAAATTTGGATGCTATAGCATTCACATCATTTTCTGTCACACTAAAAACGAATGTCATAGCATTCAAGCAATGTTTGTTTAAGACGATGCTTAAGGTGGTTGAGAAGCGAAACACCCGATACGACCTCTAAAACTTTCTTCGAATTATCTTTTTTGTAGCTTCTAACGACTCTATCCGCTTGCTACTAAGAAATAATTGCCAGGTCGAAAACTGGACCAACACATACATACAGTATTACAGATAGGAAATATGGCGCTTGATTAAACCGCAATTAAAAAAACATAAGCTGTTGTCGTTTGTTGTAGGGGCATTCCGATGGGTTTGAGTTTTGTTAACTTTTAAAACTAATTACTTTTGATAAGATTGTTTAAGGCAGACTTTTGAATAGAAAATTTTCGCTGCTTTTATTTCAGAATATATATGCTGCAGCGAAATGTGATTTATGCATATCTTGTCAAAAAAATGTCCTTTTAAGCTTTGAACTACTGTCCGGTGCCAGTCTTGTCTTCGTTTGTTCTTTTTTCTGTTTTTTCTTTTTTTTTTTGGGTTTCATGAAATTATACAAAAGAGAAAATAATTCACTAAAAATGTAAATTAATTGACTTGCTTTTCTCTGCTTTCAAGGCATGTCCTTAGCAGGACGTGCTGTTTCGTATGAAGCAGTAGATATATGCGAGACAAATGGAAAAAATTTAAATTCATATACAAATAACTAAAAGTTGAGGTCACGTTTCACGGTAGCATGTTTAGCATGCAACATGCAATGACTTCTGTGTGAATAGATGAAAAATAACAAGGTTTACATTGAAAATATAAAATAGCAAAGAAAAAAATAAAAAAAATAAAAGAATAGAAGACGTGTGACAAGGCATTTGTTAAATTAAAGGTAAGAATTTCAATATTGTCCATAACTTGGATATTGCTTGTGAGGATACTTTTTGCTCGCAAATGATGGAAAGCTTTTAATTTCCGTTTAAAATTTCAATGCGATTTGGTCGTTCGCCTATATTGTAATGCCAACGACATTGATGGATTCAGGGGGAATTTGCTTCTATTTTTTTTTTTTTTTTTTCGAATAGTTATTTACTTTAGATGTTCAAACGAAAACGTCCCCTAATATGATTTCCTGCAACTCATTTTAATTTCTGTCATTTATTTGTACAACACTGCAGTGCATATGCAATGTATGCAACATCAGCATCAACACCAACATCATCAATATTCTATGTACACTTCTTCTTTCAACTCTCAACCCAGCCATGGTCAGCCATGGTTTCTTTATGTGCTTGGCCTTTAGGTTTTTTGTTATGCACGGCTTGCAAAAGATATAGGCGTTCTTTTTGAACTTTTCTCTTTCCTCTCTTTTACTCTCCCGCCCTCTCTCTGTCTTCCTTTGATTTGATTTTATACGTTTTATACGTAGTAAAATGTTCGGTTTCTCTGCTTACCTTAATATTTATTGGATAGTAGCGTACGAGCTGATGGTGTATGTATGAATGTAAGTTAATTAACTGTGTGAAAATCGTTAAGGGAAGGCAAACATAGGTAGAATATAGTAAACAAAAGTAAACCTTACGGCTAGAAATAATTTTTAGTCGTTTATCAAGTGACACAAATTGACACTATCACCGCACAAATATCACATATATATATATATATATATATAGCTTCCGGTTATTATAGCCGTCTAGCTTATTGTTAACCGTAGTACTCAAAGCCTTACAAGAGAATGATGTATTTTAATAAAATGTTGAGGCGCAGCAAATTTAAAAAATCGAACATTTTAGTTTGAACAATCAAATAACATTATTTTCGCAATCGGAGAAATTTTAAGACAACATAAGCTAAGACGGTTTTAGTAATGCTCAGGCTGTTTTTGAAGTTTGACTCCTTAGTACTCTTAACAATGGTTCATAATAGTGCAGTTTCTGTATCCTAGACCACTTACGGTACAAGTTTTTTGAAATGCATCTGGCTTGATATGCAGCAAGCAGAAGGACTTAAGACATACTCGATTTTTTTATTACCATTTATTTTTACCTATCTGTCCGTCTTTTGTTGTGTTCAATTTGCGATTCGTAAGTTTCGAGATATTTTCACCAATTTTAAGAACACGATGACAGTGGACTGGGTCGGATTTGTTTTTCGACCACTTTACCACGCTCTTATTTTGAAAATGTCTTTATCTGGAAAAAGTTTGTAATATGAAAAATTTTTTAACAAAAGTTGCCGTAAATAGTATTCCGCTATATTAGACAGAAAGGGGCCAATTTTGTGGAAACTCGCCCATGCAACAACTCTTGAAACAAGTAGTCCTCTATAAGGCAAAAATACTATATAGTAAATAATATAATTGATCGGGGCGAGGGAGGTTTCTGTTTTGATACAAGTGTCCCAAGGAAAGTCTAATTTTTGTCATTTGAATATATTTGCAGGATAGTAATCGCTTTGGCGAAAAAAAAATTAATTTGATTGCGTTTGGTTTGTAGGCTAGTACATGCCTGCAGTTCGCAGCCCCATTCGAGGATCCCCACGGCCGGGTCCCCTTTACGCGCAAACCAGTATTAATATGGTATTTACCTTGTTTGAGGCGAATTTAGTATAGGGTGTTTAATGGTCGACCTCGCTCGGCTATGACATGATGTACGGTATTGGCACGTGTTTCAGGGGCTACTAAAAAGTTTTCGTTTGCATTTTCTTAATTTTATTATTATTCGCAGAAATGCGCATTAGACGACAACAGGGTAAACATATTCTCAATCATCATGAGCACGTCCCACGAGTAAGCTTCCGGAAAGCTCAAATTGCAATGATTGAGATAGAAAGTAAAGTATTTACTTATGTGTTCGTGCCATAGAAGGTAAAAACATTGAAAAGTAGAAATTTCAATATATAATATTTTCTTGAAAATCCAGGAATAATAATGGATGACGATTTAATGTCTGACTTGTTAAGATGGCTGACATGTGAAAAATGAAAATAGCTTCGAGCAGCTGATTCACGCGTTCACAGTTAAGAAAGAAATAACGAATGCCTGGTATTCTCATCGAATTCATTGCATTTTTATCTTACTGATGTTTTGCTTAAATAGGCTTTTGTGTTGCGATTACTTCCCGATCTTCGCGAAAGGATGAAAACAGACAAAAAGATTTAAAGATTTCGTAGGAAAAAAAACTTCAACTACTCGGAAATATGTTTATTTTAAATATTATTTTAAAATAAAATTGATCAGAAACAGTAACGGGATAAGTCAATTTTCAAACGCTAGCTTAGATTAAATGAACCAAGGGAGCTAGAGATCAATTCAAATCGAAATCTGTTCCATGCGCACCAAAAAAATTCCATTTTTTATATTGAAATTTATTATATCTTCAGGAAATTGGGTAAAACACATTTTTTTTATGATGATTTAAGCTAACTGTCAACTTTGTTAAGATTAAGAATATTTCCTACTCGGCACAGTAAACCATCTGTTTTCGACAGATGGAAGAAGAAGAAGTTGATGAAACACATCGAAAGTTCATGTACTTCTGAGCTTGTGGAGGATTAGGTTATCGAAATAGCATTTTCATGGATGGCCACTAAGTCAGTT